ATAAGAATCCTATCGTGCATTCCCATACTTCCACACTTTCCTCTAGAAATCTTACTATCTAGCCCCATGTTGGGTCTACACCCCAACTCTGAAAATCACATGACTGATCTTTCCTTCCTTAAAACACAGAGGGATGGAAGAACACAACCTCCGTTGAAAATAGTGACATCTCAATCCATCTGCCAATCACTTAGCCTCCGACTGCAATCCTCGAGCCAATCATCACAATCGCTCCCTTCTTGAGTCCCGCGACTCAATTGTTACTACTTTGAGCAAGACCCTCCAGACCTCGAAATCAACTAACTCACATGGGTCTGCACCATTGAAACCCAAACAAACATGACCATTAAGGCCCAAACAATCACCAGAACCATTCTCAGCCTGAACGACCATAACCGATAAACCGATAAGGGCGAAAACACACTGCAACGAATCATGGTGCCAAACCATGCCATCTTCCCTTAACCAGTTCCTTAGAATCCCCAATATTTTCCTCGAGTCGAGTACAAATCATGTGCTTCCAGTAGTACGGAACCAATACTACCTTCCAAACATATCCATACTTTCCTCAAGAATCATCTCGGGTCCTCTAAGTAACTACTCCTGTCCACATCCCTCTTATCCAATATCATATACTCGTTCTCAAATGAATACACATCGCTAAACAACGCAAGCATCGAGCTAAAGATACTCCATAGGATTTCCTAGGATTCCCTTCACACCCCTCTTCGCCATCAGCTGCATATTAAACTCCCTCTAGTACCTACTAACTACCTCACAGATACAATTACATGCCACATGCACTAGATAATTTTTCGACTGCAAGGTCTCACCCTACAACAGTTAGACTCAGACAAGAGCTGTGAAATAGAGTTAAACCTAACCTTCTAAACTTATCTAATCCATGTAACATGTAACCCTACGTATTCGCGTATTAGTTAGCTGATATTAACAGAGGTCTCTAAAATCACAAAGCAAGCAACATTCGAGCATCGAGTTATCCAAACTAGAGCATAACCTAATCAAGCCATTCTATTCACTATATGAATCCATACTAGCATACAGTTCTAAAAGCTTAATCAATAGGCATATAAATCCATCTCTCCTAGCCTACTATCATGCAATCCTGAGCAGATCCTTACCCTAATCTAGCATGTAATTCTCATAAAATATAACATAACAAACATGTATGGGTATTTTGAAAATCACTTACTTGAGCTTGGCTGATTGCACACATCACACCCCCTTTTTCTTTATAAAATCTTTTTTAGAATTTGTTTTTCTTTCAAAAGATTATCAATTCCTTAGTTTGAGTGTGCCCGAATCCCTCAAACCAAGGCTCTTATACCAACTTGTAACGTCCCAAAATTTATAAGATAAAAAATTCATTTTTAATTCAACCATAAACACCATTTATCATTTTCAGTATATTAGAGTAAAATAGTTATCAGAGTACAATCCCAAAATCATAAAGTTGCGGAAACATGGGTGGATGTGTTGCGATCACGTCAGGCCCTTCTTTTTCAAATCGAAATACCTGAAACCATAAACATAAATCGTAAGCACAAAACTTAGTGAGTTCCCCAAAATACCACATACCATACATATCAAACATACTTCGGGCCCTGTCTGACATTCATCAGGCCCCTGCTCGGCATTCATCGGGCCCCGCCCGATACATATCTGTCAGTAACATGCGATGGGCCCCACCCAACACACATATCAGGCCCTGCCTGGCATCGGTCCCCGCCCGGTATACATACAAACACATACAACACATACAAGAGTCATACAGACAGCTAGCATACTATAACATAATCCAATGGACCGACATTGGTGCCTTCTACCAGCTAAACACTACGAGGAGACTCACCTCAATCAGTCGATAACCAACTATGCTCACGAGTCAGTGCTAAGAAAGCTCCGCGCACACTAATCAAACCAAAACCATTATCCTAATTAATAGTTAAGATAATACCCATCGAATGAGTCAACAAATCAACAATTCCAAGAACGGTCAAAAGACCATTTTGCCCCCGATAAGTCCAAGCCACTCAACAGTTGACCAAAAGTCAACAGGTCCACAAAAGTCAACGAAAGTCAACAGTTGCTGAGTACGCCCAACGTACTTAGACTTACGCTCGACGTATGCATGTTTAGCCCAGTACGCACAACGTACTCTGGAGTACGCCCAACGTACTGGTCAGTCCCCATTTCTTAATCCAAATGACTTAATCCATTAAGCCCACAATGTTCAAACCTCAGATCTATTGCTAAATAAAGTCTTAATATGTAAAGTTGGCAACTTTACTCCTCTGCATGTCTTATTGGGACCCAATACCCATTTTTATCCATCTAAGTCCATAATATGGACACAAGCTCTTGCATGGTTCATCAAACCCCATCAAGATGACATTTTTATGCCCTAACAACATCAGAAATTCAAAGATCTAACATTCTAAGCTTCCAAGAGTAGCTAATACTCACAAGGATGACTCAAGGGACCATATTGAGCTCAAAACAAGCCCTAAACTATATCTAACACTAAGAGTCATCAAGATAAGAGCTTTGTACCTTTAAATACTAGCAAAGTTCGATGAAGACTTTAGATCTTTAAGCTCTAATCCAACCAAAGCTTCACCACCAAGATCTTCCTTCTTCAAAGAGTACTAAAATGCCAAAAGATTACTACCAAGGCTCAAAAACACACAAGAACAAGCTAAGGTTTTGTGGGGAGTCTTTAGAGGGAAGGAGGCTGATGATAAGAAGGTCCAAGAGAAAGATAAAGTGTTTAAATAGGGTCCAAACCCTAAAAATTAGGGGTTGTCCCAGGTGTCCGTACACCCAACGTACATGCTTGCCTTCCGCGATCAAAATTGAGCCTAGTACGCCCAGCGTACTCGGCTTAGCCCAAAATCCTCATAACTTCAAACAATCATAACTTCTTCGTTCCAACTGCGATTTCGACGTTCTTTATATCCACAGAAAGGTCTTGGAGAGCTCTACAATCCTATCCAAAAACTTTTGACTTAAAACATCTCGGACTAAAATCCTTAATTCATGAAAGGCCCGAACCATCACTTTTACCATTATACCCTTGGGATCCAAAGTACACCTAAACTCTTGGATCACATAATCTACATTACCCACATCCAAATGGGTCCAAACCTCTCTTTCCCTAAGGCCTGAAGTCTTATGATAGTTGATCTTCGGGTCACGGCCCCGAATTATGAAACAATTCGAAACAGGATGTTACAATAATTTCATAATAATAATAAAAAAATGTATAGATTTTTTAAACTACAATACAATACGTCAATGAAAATTTGAAGTAATGTAGAAACACAAGTAGGATGCTATAATACAGGAATAAATTGAAGCACGTTGTTATTCTAAGTTAGGTCATTGCTTTTCATTGTGCAGGGTACGTCCTAGATTTTTTATGGTCATAACTTGGCTTTGGCTGAAAAACGTGTAATTGTAAATGAGAAAGTTTTTAAAACTTGACAGCCTTTGAGCTACAAAGAAGAGGTTTAACTATTTCGCATCTCTTCAGTTTTCAATTTTTGAATTTCTATGGCTAATATAAAAGATGATGTTATGTTGTGAAAATGAAGTGTTATCAGATTTATTCTTATACAGTCGTTTGGGTGACTGAGGGCAGATGATTTGTGTTTAATGCCATATATGCCAAGTTCTTTTTTTTAAGTGTAGGCTATGTAGTGATTGAATGTATTTAGTGTTTGAGGACTGACGACAAAAAACCCAATAAAAAAAGTGACCGGTGATTTACCACGAGTTCACTCATTAGTTATTATTAACCGAATAATAAACCGATGTGATTTTGGTTTCCTAATTTTAATAGAAACAAATACAGAACCAGTTTAATAATGGTTGGTTTAGTTTCTCTTACACTACATAAATATAATATTTTTAATTTCTTCAGTTTAATGATGGTTAGGTACTTATGTTTTAGTTTTATTGAGAGTATGGCCCCTTACACTTTCTCAGCTTTTGCTGCTTCACAATATTATTATTAACCAAATAACAAACCAATGTGATTTTGGTTTCCTAATTTTAATAGAAACAAATACAGAACCAGTTTAATATAATATTATTAATTTCTTCAGTTTAATGATGGTTAGGTTTTAGTTTTATTTAGAGTATGGTCCCTTACACTACATAAATATATATATTATTAATTTATCTAGTCTAGTCTAATAAATGAAGGTTTTTTGCCACATGTCATCTTCTCCTTCATTTGGACACATGACATTTTCTAGAATTTTTAGATTTTTTATTTTCCACTTGTCATTTTATTGTATTTTTCATTTTATTAAATTAAAATTCCACATTTAATATGTAAGGTAATATATATGTAAGGTATTTATTAGAAAGGGTTTATATATGTAATGTATTCAATACATTAAGTCTCACTAATTTTAATAATTCAATTTTTTTTTTCATTTTTCTTATAAATTCAAACTTTTTAAATTGTTAAAATTTCATATTTAATTTTTTTTAATTAAACCAATGTAATACATGGGTCTCACACCTAGTTCAGTTAATAAATAACATCACTCACTAAAAAATAGTTGTTAAAATAGTTTCACGATCAAGTTCGATATCTTGGATCGAGGGTGAACTAGCCAGTGTTAAACTTATAGGGGATACACCATCAATAAGTTATGAGTATCAAAAAGTCAAATATTTCATTCCGAATAATTTGTCACCGTGGGCTTGTGGCTCCAAACTGGCTTTGGGGATGTTGGTGGACTCATGAGTCATGATCCGTCAAAAATCAAATAACCCATTCACAATAACATGAATATTGTTGTTTTACGGGTATATCTTGGCTACCAATATCTCATCAAAGAACATAAATAATTAAATATCTAACTAATAATAAAATATTTTTATTAATTTAAAACTCATATTTGTTTTAATATATAGACATTTAAGTACTAATATTGAATTATTATATGATATAAATTACAAAGACAGAAAATACATTATTTCAAAAAAATTCCAATAAGAATGAAGTGCCACCAAAATTAAGAGTTTTATAACTTGTGTAATTTTTTACGGTATAAACTTGGATAGCCACCTGTTGTGTTATTTGACAGATATTTTACTCGATCAACTACGCCGCCGCTGACCTTTTGTCACCGTAGTCGTCTAGGTTAAGGGCTTCCAGCAGCTTTGGCCATGATTCCGGGATCCCTCCGGGAAGATCAAACTCCATTAACTTCCCTTGCTTTCTGTAATAATCCTCCACTGGTTCACTCTGTTTACCCAAACCCAAACACAAATACAGATCCATTATTCATAATTCGAATTTTGATCTGAAATTATATAAACAGAACAGAGGGTGAATTCAACCTCCAAACAAATAATTACCTGTTCCTTGTAGATACGAAGCCGCTCCCTGACGACTGGTTCAGTGTCATCAGCACGAGTAATGAGCTTCGATGAACACTGTGGAGGTGGAAGAAGCGGAGCCATGGTGATTTCTGGATAACCGTTTTCTGCCTTTGCATTGATTGAAGCCAGATTGAAACTTTTTCCACAGTCGCTGCATATCCTTCGTCCCAGACATTTCTCAATCAATACATCTTCCCTCAGTTTCAGATTTATCACTAGATCAATTTCCGTCGCCTCGTCAAGAATTTCCTGTATGTTAAATTCGTTTATAACAATCACAATTTGGGAATTGGGAATTATATTTCATGACCACTTACAGTTTGTCTTATTGTTCGTGGAAAACCATCTAGAATGAATCCTGATTCACCTTTTGATTCTCCAGCTTCGAGTCTCTTCGACAATAAGTTGAATATGATTTCATCTGAAACCAGCTTCCCTTGATTTACTATCTCCTTGAGCTGAAATAAATGGAGAAAATAAGTGCCAAAATCAACGAATTCAAGGATTTGCAACTGATGAATATATGATCCCAGTTTGTAATTAAGAATAACTTCCAAGGCTTAAATTGTAGCGATTATCATGGATGAAGGTCGATAAGGATACCTGATGGGAAAGAGGGCCAGAGGAAGATAACTCTTCACGAACGAGATCACCGGTGGCGATGTGAGGGACACCGAGAAGAGAGGATAGTCGACCGGCATATGTTCCCTTTCCGACGCCGGGGCAACCTAGAAACACCCACTGGAAATTCCTAGAACCCTTGGGATCATCAGTAAGCGGGAATAGAATGGAAGAATTGGGACGTTGACGTTGAGGCTGGATTTCGGAAACGGTGGCAGTGGTGGTGGTGGTGGAAAGTGATCGCCTGAGTAGAGATGGGAATTGGGGTTTGAAGAGGCGGGCGAGGGCCGCCATTGGAGAATTCTGCGGCAGAGTTGCAGAGACAGAGATGGAGTTGGAGGGGGAAAGCCGAATTGGGAGTTAAGCGTCGGCACGCATCGGTATCGACCTAACGTGATTGGTGTGTTCTCCATAATAAAAGGTTTCCAACAATTTTATATGTTTATGCAAAATAATGTATAACATTAATTAAATTTCTTACGATATAATAATATGTTAAACATGTTAAAATACACGACTTTAGATGATTTATAACTTAAAATATTTAACAAGCATGACGTTATTTTAGAAAAAGTTCAGATATAATGGTTGTTTGGTGCGAAGTGAAAAAAAATACAAAGAAAAAGTATTTTGTTAATATAGGATACTTTGTAAAAATATAATATCTGATCTAATTATATAATTTATATGTTTAAAACAAATTTTAATAGCTAAAAAAACTAATATTCTCAGTGTTTCCCAATGGGTATAAATGATGAAATATAAAGTTCGATTAAAGGTTACTTATAAAACCCATTTACATTCAATATTACATTTTGAAAAAAAAAAAAAATACTTGTTTTGCAAAATAATAATAATAACAACAATAAAAAAAATAATGCAACATGTTTTAGATACTTACTTTTGTATTTCAAAAGATGTAATATATTTGGAGAGATTTTTCTTTCAACTTTATTAAATAACGATTAGAACTTTAGAAGATGATATCAGGATAAATTGAGTTTAATATATATATTTTTTCTTTTTAAAAGGCATGTTCTTATAAGTTGATTTTGTTTTTAGACTAAATAATAGTATTTTTTTACAGACACGTAGACTCCCAAGAATAGAGGAACGTGTAACGACCTACGCCACGAGAGTCAACGAACCTTCAACGGCTAGAATTGATATCGTTTCTCCGGCGAGAACACATTCAGACGGAAAATGGTGATTACTCTCTCAACAATCGCTCCGATCACTCGTACTTACCTCTCTCATGCTAATAATTCGCCACCAAGTTATACAAGTAGTAGTTGTACTTATAATCTCACTCTCCCCCCCTCCGTCACCGCCAACAAAACGGTCCTCGCTTCTTCATCACATACTCGCCGCCCTGGCTCCGCCGCCGTCTCCAGCTCAACCGGCAAGTTTTATTCCTCTCCCTCGTATTCACATACTAATCCACAAGGTAGGTAATTTGACATATTAATGGCGCAGGAACTGCTGAATCTTCGATTGGAATTGGCGAAGAAACGGGCAGTCTGTTGGAGAGAGTAGAGGTGTTTGATTTGAATGGGAATTCGATTTTGATTTCTGATTTATGGAAGGATCGGAAGGCTGTCGTTGCATTCGCTCGTCATTTCGGGTATGCATATGACATATCATCTTATAGAATTTTCGATTATCGGAGAAATCGTAGCGCGAATTTGGTGCCCTAATTCATATACACAAGGATACAGTGCCCTAATCCAACTGTTTTACGTGTTGAATTGCAGATGTGTCCTTTGTCGCAGACGAGCTGATATGCTTGCTGCTAAGAAGGTATTCAGATTTTACGAACTGAATCTTACACTTTTTTTAGACATACGATGATCAAATTCATGTAGTTTTTCCTCAATCGCGTTTCAATCAGGATACGATGGATGCTTCAGGTGTGGCGCTTGTCTTGATTGGACCTGGTAGTGTTGATCAGGTGTGTGTGTGTGTGTGTGGGTTGATCATGTTACTTTTGATTTAGGGTTCATGACAAGTGTTTTATGAAGTTGATGAGACAATTCCATCTGTATTCACCATGTGCAGGCAAGAACATTCTCTGAGCAATCTGGTTTCAAAGGAGGTATGTTTTCAACTTTGAAGCATTGAGAATTTGAGATGTGATTTAATCATCAAAAACTTATATAACAGAAATGACATATTTCTTGTTGCAGAAGTATATGCGGATCCTAGTTATGCATCATACAAGGCACTGAGCTTCGTTTCTGGAGTTTCAACCACTTTTACACCCGGAGTATGTTTTTGCTTCAATCATCAAATTAAGTTTTAAAGTTTTCTTATTTGCGAATCATTTGAGAAACACAGGCAGCTTTGAAGATCATAGAAGCATACATGGAAGGTTATCGACAAGACTGGAAGCTTTCCTTTGAAAAAGATACCCGAACCAAAGGTGGCTGGTATGTATGCATATTTCTTTTTTGGACCGAATGAACAAACTGTTTGAATAAGAAGAGTAAATGACCATTTTACCCTTGTGTAGGCAACAAGGTGGAATCATAGTTGCAGGTCCAGGGATAAGCAACATCTCATACATCCACAAGGACAAAGAAGCAGGGGATGATCCCAACATAGAAGAGATACTTAAAGCTTGTTGCTCATGAGACATGAGGATGAGGATGAGGTACTTATATTCACAATGATACTCTATGTAAAATATTGTAAATGAACATATGAATATATGATAGATGACTTTTTATTTATATTCAATAAATTGGATTATAGAGTAGTGTTACAAATTATTACAAGTACATTGAGGGACCAATTAATTATGTACAAAAACTTATCATTTGATTTTCTTTTGTAACCAATGATACAATGACCTTCGTGTGACCTTCAACCTCTGAAAAACCGCTGGTCTTCTGTTTGGGGAGCGGAGAGTTTTATCTAATAATAATAAGTCGGGATTTGGATTTGGATGGAATGGATTCTCCACATTTATTCTTATTATCTCACTTGGGATTTTTGGTCCTAATGAGAGAATCTCAAGACCTAAATTATCTCTTACAAGTTTGATTATTGTATCCTTTACATCAAATTCATGTTTATCACCTACTTCATGTACTCCCAGTATTATCAACATGTCATCTCTTACCAATTCACCTGCAACCAAAACATAACATTTTCACCATCAAACTTATACTCCAGTAGTCCAGTCTCTATAAAATAGTAAAATACAGAATTTAATTCTATTATACCCGAATGGTAGTTTTCTTTTATCATGCGCAAAACTGCTAAGACAACAATCCGTGCTTCAACCTTTCAAATGTCAATCAATACATTGTTGTGTTAGAAAAAGTTGGTGGGAATTTCATTTTTTTGTTTTAAATAAATAAATTACCTTTGTGAGGCCTCGAACATCAACAGCTATAGATTGGGCATCTGTGTTACCCTTTTGCAGGTGTGATGCAACTTTTTCAAGAAGTAAACTTTGAGGTCCCCCTAAATTTCTTCTGTTGCTAGAGTTTTGTGGCCGATGGTTATCTTGTATTATCCCTTCACACCATTCCTCTATCAGTTCCTTCAGATAGTAATCATTGGGTTTAAACCTACACAGATGCTAAATTATTTAATATTATTAATCAAAAATATGATCACCAACTTATTAATATCGATAAACATTGTTGGCCCTTACCCTGCTTTACGCATGTGTTGATAAATAGATAAACATTGTTGCACTTCTTCTAGGGAACCATATCTAGTACGTGCTCTCAGAAGTGTGTTATATGTAACCTAAAATTCAAAACAAGAATTCAATGTTTATAATATATATATATATATATATATATATATATATATATATATATTTTTTGTTAAAACAGTTTGTATTATAATTAAATCATATTCCTTACCATATTTGGTTGTACTTGATATTTCTGCATCTCTGCAAATAATGAAAATGCCAAATTCAATTCCCTCTGTTTTACACAAACCTTAATAGCTGCTGTATATGCAACAACATCAGGTTGGACACCAGAGTTACGCATGGTTTTCAAAATCTGCACTGAATGACCAAATGTTATTAGAGCTAATAATAATAAAAATATAATATAATGTTTATTTCTAATTTAAAAATTACTTGAATTTTGTCTTACCTGTACAGCACGTTTGACATCCCCGGAACCTCCATAAACACCAATCAAAGTGGACCAAGTTATATGATTAGGGAAAATGCCAGCTGTCCTCATCTCATCCATTAAACCTCTTGCACGAAAGTCATCAGTGCCACAAGCTTTCATGAGCACATTATAAGTAGAAGTGGTGGGTCTAAAAGGAACCTTCATGGAAACTTCCAAACTCCCTTGTGACAGATTTTGTCTGTTTGTGATGTTTCCATATTCGTTCTTTTTCCATGATTCAAATAAACGGAAGGCTCTGTCATACTGGAAAGCCTTTACACATGCATATAACAAGACGTTGAAGCATTGTGAATTTGGCATGCAATTGGATACGATCATTTCTTCAAATAATACAAATGCTTCATCTACTAGACCTGCTTTTGCACATGCACTGATTAATGATGACCATGTAACTGCATTTGGAGTCACACCCGCTTCAAGCATTTTTTGTTTCATTCCCAGTCCCATCTCCCACATTCTTGCATCTGCAAATACCTGACATTTCAGATAACAAATATGAAAACTCTTGGGAATCTTTGAGGCCATTTTCCTAACAATTTTCTACACTCTAGAACAAGAGAAGAATAAAAATCAAATGTTAAGACCATTTTCCCAACAAAAGCATTACATTGGATTTTTGGGATATAAAGATGAATATGATACCTTAATCATTGTGCTGTATGTGAAGACATCCAACTTCAATGATCCTGTTGATTCCATGCACTCTACCTCACTGTATATTTCCTGGGCTAAATCAACTCTAGCAGCAAGGCAGCATGATTTTAGAAGGATATTGTATGATGCCATATCTGGAGTAACGCCCACATTCTGAATAGGTAAACTGAATTAGTCAAAATTCTTGTAAAACTAATGCATGATTTTGTAAGAAGAGAGTATTATTATTACTTGCATATGTTTGTATATATTCATCGTGTAGCTCAGGTCACTGGCATTTACATTCATAAGACTGTTGAATACATACAGATTTGGGTTGATGTTTTGAGCACTTAACTCCTGCACCAAATTCACAGAAGAAAATCTACTATAAATGAACCATGATCAATAAAGAACATCTTTGATGCATAAATAGAAGAAACACCATCCAAAATTTCAAGGAAGTTGGTATATTATGATTTATGAGCATTAGCATACCTCATATATGGACCTAGATTGCAAATGGTCACAACAAAGACCACATACATCTATGATTGTGCGATAAGCATACATATTTACACAACCCAGATTATGTTTGGATGCTTCAAAAACAGTTAGTGCAGATGCCATATCTCCTCTCTTTCCAAATTCATGAATTGCAGTACAGAATATCTCATCAGAGTGGGTACACAAACCCGAGTATCTGCAAAAGGAGCTAGTTAGCATCAAGGAACAGGAAACATGAATGAAGCAGAACAGAAAGCATAGAATCATAGATATATAATTATCGGAAGTAGGAAACTAACTTTACCTTATGGCCGCATGTGGATTTCTTTTGTTGACACAGTTTCGTATAACCTCAATTGGTTCCACAACATCTTCGATAGATATATGAAATCCTGCACCACATTGAGGGGGTAGAAGAAGATAAATCATAAATGTATTACGCAAAGGGGACTACTACACATTACTCAATGAGTTTACGAAAATTTACCAGACAGCGTTTCCATGAGATCAACAACCTCCTCCACACCACCACATTTCAAAATCTTCATGGATTCTCGTCCAATTGCCCCCATAACAGATCTATCGGACAGAAAAACTTCCACTGCACCAGCACCACCAATCCCTAATTTCTGAAAACCGGTTAACACTTTGATCAGATTCCTCACGCCCCCATCGCTCTCAATCACACTCAAAATCCCCTTAGAAACAAGCTCCGAATTCAACAGTGCTGCAAATTCGACAGGCTTCAAGGCAGAACTACCGCCGCCGCTAGTAACCGTCTCCACAATCATGAAAACATCCTCGAACCTGCCATCTTCCACGAGCTTCGAAGCTAGTTCGGCATAGTAGTTGATCCGATTGTGGCTCTGGCGATGTTCCCCCCACCTGACAGTGGATAGGAGAGGAGGACGGTGAGAGTGAGAGTTAGAAGAAGACGAGGAGGATGGGGGTGGTGGTGGTTTTGATTGTTTGGAGGGTTGTTTAGGGTTAGTAGTAGGGAGAGTGTGTTTGGGAAGAGGTGGAGGAGTGGTGGAAACGGAGGAGCTAAGCATGAGAAGAGTGGTGATGCTTCTCATCTCCCGGCTAACCGGCCGAGCTGATTTGTTCAGTTTTCACTTTTCAGTTGTTTGGTTGGGGCGAAGATTGTATTTGAAAGGCAGGTAATAATAGAGGGATAATACTTATTTTTTATTTTTATATTTTTGCAAAAGAAAAAAAATTGTATATATAAATTTTGAACATTTTCAGCTTTAAATTTTGTAACTGTCGACTTATTATTTTAATTTTTATGGGACAAAACACTGGTTTATTGACCAAGAAAAACAATTTAATTGTTCTTTTATAGGAATTTGAGTTTTTTTTCTTGTGACGTTAGTTTTTGTTCCCTTGCTACTAATAATTTTGGACCTATAACTATCAAAAGTTAAAAGAAAACATCAAAGACTATCATTTAACCATTTATTGAATCTTGGATTAAATGTGCTTTTATAAAAACATATGTTAAGCATCGAGACTTCACCCCAACATATAGCTATACGGTGGGTCGATATTCGGTATGAGACTTGAACGCAGTGGAGGAGGCTGATGTGTCACTCCTCCACGCTTCGGCCACCTTGAGACCCCCACCCTAAAGACTCACATCAAGACTCACAACACTCACATTATTTATATTTTTGCAAACGAAAATGGGTATTTATAATTGTCTATAGTCGTCATTGCTTACGACTTCTTGTCTTCAAACGTCATTGCTTACGACTTCTTTTTTGTTATTCATTCACCGCTTCCATGAAAGGTGTTTCTTCCGTATTTCCGTTGCAATGACTACAACTGTTTCTTGGTGCATGCATAATATGTTTGCAAAGTTGATTTTTTAATTCAACAACGCCCTATTTATACACAAGGAGGACTCTTTAGAAGTCTTTACATAATTATAAACGACAAGTGACTGGATGAGAATCCAGTCACTTGTCTTCAAACGTCATTCCTTACGACTTCTTTTTTGTTATTCATTCACCGCTTCCATGAAAGGTGTTTCTTCCGTATTTCCGTTGCAATGACTACAACTATTTCTTGGTGCATGCATAATATGTTTGCAAAATTGATTTTTTAATTCAACAACGCCCTATTTATACACAAGGATGACTCTTTAGAAGTCTTTACATAATTATAAACGATAAGTGACTGGATGAGAATCCAGTCACTTGTCTTCAAACGTCATTGCTTACGACTTCTTTTTTGTTATTCATTCACCGCTTCCATGAAAGGTGTTTCTTCCGTATTTCCGTTGCAATGACTACAATTGTTTCTTGGTGCATGCATAATATGTTTGCAAAGTTGATTTTTTAATTCAACAACGCCCTATTTATACATAAGGAGGACTCTTTAGAAGTCTTTACATAATTATAAACGACAAGTGTCTGGATGAAAATCTAGTACAATACACTTTCACGTTCTCATGTTTTGAGAAACGACAATCCTACATTATTACAAATTATATGACAATACTCACATCACACTCACATTATTTATATTTTTACAAACGACAATTGGTATTTATAATTGTCTTCAATCGTCATTGCTTACGACTTCTTGTCTTCAAACATCATTGCTTACGACTTCTTTTTTGTTATTCATCCATCGCTTCCATGAAATGTGTTTCTTCTGTATTTTCATTGCAGTGACTACAATTGTGTCTTGGTGCATGCATAACATGTTTGCAAAGTTGTTTTTCTAATTTAGCAGGTAATTCAACTAAATGATGAGAAATTTTTTTGAATGGTTGTTCGAAAGTTTCTAATGATTTCAATGTGTCGGGAGTAATTTCATTATCGGTTAGAGAATAGATAACAAATGTTTTGATTGCATAATTTATTCTAACTCGTGATCTTTGATCTTTTCCACTGCCTATTTGAGATGATGCAAGATAAACACCTGTTAATTGATAAGTCTATTTAAAGAATGTACTAAATTGTCATAAATCTGTTGAATTGATGTATAATTGTCCAAGAATGACACTACTTTGATAAGTTGTTGGACTTCATATGCAGGTCAATATATTGTACTAAAAGTGGGTGGAACCTGCAAATAAAGCGAATTGCTAAAGGAATGAAGAAATGTTGCTGGGAAAATTGACCACGCTTCAATGTTTTGGTCATATCTCAAGTTCTGGAGCTCCTATTGATATGAGTAAAGAAGTTCTGGAAACTAGACAAGATTTGCTACAACTTTCGTGTTTTGTGTTTCCGCTAATTATGTCGTTTTGACCACCAAAACTTGCACAGAAGATGAAGGACGCCTCAAGGCGTCTAAGACGTCCCCTAGGACGTCCAAGTCAAACAGTCAACGTCTGGGCAAATTTCGGAGCAGGAAAGAAGGAAGGACCTCCGTCGGCATCTTACATGATGTCTAAGACGTCCCCTAGGACGTATTGACGTTTTAGGGGTGTCCCGTGTTGGAACGGTGTGTTTCGGAAAGCATAGCATTCAAAGATGAACGTCCTAGAACGCGTCTAAGACGTCCCTTAAGACGTCTGACGTTTTTCGCTATTTTTTAATGTATTTCAAGGACGACAAAAGGCATGCAAAGACGTACAAAGAACGCCTGGGCGTTATACACGACGTCTAAGACGTTTCCTAGGACGTCCAACGTCCCACATCGCCCAGTTTCACTATTTTTTGCCAAATAATATAAATAGGGACTTATGCATTCGTTTTTAGGGTTACCGCCTCCGATTTTCAGAGTTTTTCCTGCGTTTTTGAGGCTTCTAAAACCCTTGGAAACATTTGGAAACACAAATCCATTCCATTTTAATCTGGATTCAAGGCAAGATTCGATTCAACTCATCATCAAGCAACATTTGAAGATCATTTCATTGGTTATCTTCATCAATTCTTTATTCTCCAGAAATTATTTCTTCTTCCCCAAGGTTTACTGTTCTATACTTTGATAATCATTAGGCTACATTTGTTTGATGATTCTAAGTTTGATTATGAATTCTATTATGC